ACAGCGTCAGCATGAATCTTCCAGTAAAGCCAATCGACAGCTGGTCAAGAGGAATCGGCCGTCGTCTTTTCGTGGAACCGACCTTTGAATGTCTTCACCCAACACTTCCACTCGAATTGGAAGTAAGCTGAACAGTAGCAAAGTTGGACAGTGACTTAATTGAATTTTAGTCCGATTGCATCTGATTGAACTTTATCGAAATATGTGGAATGACAATAGTTGAACTCCATGCTCTTCATGCCACCTCGCTCCATCCGAATTTCCCCATCAACCCCCTTCAGGGGTCAGTTCTCTAGGCTGCTTCTGGTGCGCGTTCATCCGATGTTGGTGAGTCACGGTAGGCCCGGCGAGTCCGGTCTTGGGTGTCTTCCAGCCCGCCTGCTAGCCCGAATCACGGATCTTCGCGCAGATCCAAACTCGGCCGGATTAAGCCAAGCCAAGGCTCGTCGTGAAGCCGTCCTATTGACCAGTCTGCACACAGCCTGCAGCGGCATTTATGCATCGGCCGACGACGAGTTTCTGGTTGATCCCGATCCCGCGGCTGGCGGCAGTTTTGCTGGAGGTGCAGCCGGGGACAGTGTGCTTTTCGGCCGCGGACGCCACAGTAGACAACCGTTCGGGCTGTTCATGGCTTCGCGTCTCCTGCTGCCTGTTGGATGGTCGCTCGGATGGCTGGCAAATGACGCCGCCCGGCCCAGTCTGGGGGTATCGCTTCAGCACTACATTCCGGGCGGTCCAGCCTGTCTTCTGGAGGTGCTTGTAGCACGCGGCGAATACGCAGAATTGGCCGTGGTCCGCTGGATTGGCCAGATCATGATGGCGCTTCGCTGGTTGCATACCTGCTTGTTTAGTCGTTGGACAGCCTCGGGAACTGTGGGCAGCCATGGACTGGTGCGTCCCAACCATGTGATGGCAGCAAGACGCTCTTCCGGCATGCCCGATGTTGTGCTGACGGGACCCTCTGACGTGGGCCGACTAGGCGCGGATCATTCTGGGGCGGCCAGAACAAGTGATCCATTTTTGGGTAATCTCCAGTTCAAGCATACGCATTCGCTCATCCTCTGGCATTTATTTGCTGCACTCTGCCTGAAACAGTTGCCAATATTATCATTGTCTAAGAAGGCCAAAAACGCTCTAAATAGTATAGAGCAGATATGAAGAGAAACTTTGGTTTCGATGAATCTCCTGAGATAAGATTGTTAGCGGGTCCTTCATTTCGAACGAAAGTGCATGAAGAAGAGATTCGTTGGTCAATCTCACCAGATGAGGACGGATGAAACTCGTTGAAACCAATTGCGAATCCCTTCTACTCACCTCTTCACACAAAACGAAAGATACACTAACATCAATCTATTAAGGCATACTTAGGAAACAAGTTTTCCTACATATCTCTTTTACACACGCTTTCAAACGAAGCGAGAGTCAGTTCAGTTTGATATATCAGAAGATTAATGGAGGACCAGTTATGTAATCTTGATCAAAATGCACATTTTGCAAAAATCACCAGCTAAAAAAAAGTCCAAATATCCAAGTGGTATTCTCCATGCCAGTGGTTCCCAAACTTTTCCTAGTAGCT